CCGGCAGAGGCGGCTGGTAGCCAACGTGGTTCTTGTCGAGGGGCTTGAGGGAGAGCGTGACGAGGATGGTTGACACCTTGCGCTCCACCTCCATGTTTTCCTTCTTTCCGTCAACCGCCTCGTACTCGTCGTGGATGACCTCCGACGAGATGTCGGTCGTCTGGTGCAGGCCGACCACACGACGCTTCACAATCTCCGCAATGTTCACCGCATTGTGGATGGCGGCACCCATGGCGCTGATTTTGATCGTGTCGTGCTGTGTCTTGCCATCCTCACCGCGAAGGAGCGCAATCGCGTAGGTGATATAGCTGCGCTGGCCGTGCTTTGCCGTGACACGGATCTCGTTTTCGGGTCCCTGGCCCTTCTCCTTTTCGCCGTCGTTCTTGCGAACACGGCGGTACTCGTCGCGGGGCGGATACACAGGCATCTTTCAAGTGTGAAGTGTATGTATTTGGTTTTTCTTTCCTTTTTCGGGCTTTCTTCGCTGATGTGGTGCACTGTAAAGTAGCAGTAAAGAGCAAAAATAGGGAGGAAACCGCACAACAAAAGCACCGAGGCTCATAGGAGGGGCAACCGCATGGGGGAGCCTCCTACAATGCAGGCAACTGCATGCATTCATTTGGGCTTCTGCAAATGTCCCTTTTCCTCGTCGTGCCTAGCGGTAACCCTTGTCGCTTGTCGCCTGTCGCTTGCGTACCACGCCATGCCGTGCGTCCAAATCAGAAAGAAAAATCGCCCCACTGGTGCAAAATAGGCTCCTTCCCCTCCTCCTTCACCCGTTGTTGTTTTTTTTTTCATAGGCTTATTTTCACTCACTTCCTTCCCCACTTGCCGTTGTTGTTTTTTCGCCTTATTCACCCTTGTGGGTTTCTATTTCTCACCCTCACGCCTCTACGCTTGCCTCGCTCTCTCCCCCTCTCTCCTACATTTACACTTTCCCTCTTCTAGAACAAATGATTGGGCACCGCTGTTGCCCCTCCATTTACATTTTACTTTTTTTCTTTCACTTCACGAAATATCATAGAATTAAATACAATATATATATATATGCTTCTGGGCTTGCACCGCATGCATATACTGTCCCCCTGCTGGCGTTGCCGCGGACGAAAAACAAACAAAATCAAACACAGCGATTGTCATGGTAGCAGAGGGAATACGGCGGCACACAGGAGCGATCACCGCCACGAGAACAACACATTCTGAAGCTGTGCAGCCGCAACACACTCACAGGACGGATCTGTGCGCCAGCAGCAAAGCACCCCCCGCAAGTGGTGCGAGGCACCGCACGAAACGAGTGGCACGCAATGGTCCGGGGATATTTTGTGGAGACGCATATGGCGGCACCTTTTACTCTCCTCGGTGCATGAGCTGGAAGAGGGAAGCGGCAAAGATGTAAACTGGCAGAATATAGTGTCTTTTTCTTTTTTGCATTTCGTTTTTTTTTTCTTTTGGCGTCCACCTTCGGGAGATGGGGCGCACCCCGCAATTCCGCTCGTTATTTACTTGTCATCTTCTTTTCGTTTTTCAGTTTGCCTCCTTGATTCACCGCAACACAGAATGACGAAAACACACAAGAAGAGTTGCAACACATAAACTAAATGAAGGGTTCTGCCGGTCTCACTTCAAGCGCTACGGGGTTGTGGAAGACCGCGCCGCCTGTTCGTTCATGAGGGACAGCTGTCGCTGGAACGCCCGTTTGTTCAGCTGCCGAAGGGACGCAAGGAGGTCCTCTAGCGACTGCTGGTGCGTCTCCATCCACTCCTTCTGCTCGCTGAAGGACTGCAGGCGCGAGTCCAGCAGCGCCAGAGTGACCTTAACTGCGGCTCTCGACTTTTCCGCGGATGCGGCCGCGTTGTCTAACTCCGCGATCACCTCTGGCACCTCCTTCTCGCGCGTGCTCCAGAACACACGCTGCAACGTCAGCGACGCGGTGCGGAACGTTTGCCGCACCCTTTGGCTGTCCTGTTCGTGTTCGTCGAGTATATTCTTCTCGTTTACTGCCTCCTCTTCGGAGACCCTCAGAAAAGAGGCGTACTCCTCACGAAGAATTGTAAGGCGATCCTGTAAGGTCCCAATGATGTTCTCCAACGCCGTTTCATACTGACGCACAATAGTCTCGTTCGTCTTTTCCTCCTTACTGAGATTTGTACTGCGGCGGGCGCGGGACTCTTCTTGACGTTTCTGATGGTCCTCGGCGAGTTTAGTGTCGCGAAAAGCCTGCAGCTGCTGCTTCAGTGCCAGCAAGTTGTTTTCATAAATGACTGCATCAGACTGACGTGCCTCCTCTGAGAGCTTTAGCGCCTCGGACAGACGCTGGACCTCCCCACGCGCCTCCGACTCGGACTCCTGCGTCTTCTCCAGCACAATGGCCATCTCCTCCATGCGACCCATGAGCTTCGCAAACTCCTCGGCGCGGTCCGTGTCCACCGACGCGGCGCGTGAAACACTCTCGCCATTGGGTGGCTCACTTTTTGAGCGCAGCCGGGTGCGCAGGTTCTCAATGATGACATCCTTTTCGAGCAGGTTCTCCTCGAACTCACGCTCCTTCGCCTCCATTTCCTTCTTGTTGCCCTGAATAATGGCGGCGATCAACTCGTTCTGGTGCATTGCGTGCTTCTCAAGCCGCTTGCGCTCCCGTTTAATGGTCTCAAGTGACTTTTTCATTTCCTCTTCGAGGCGCTTGTTCTCAGCCTCGCTGGTCTGCAGCGCTTCCTGCGCTTTGCTGAGTGCGTCACCCAATTCCCGCTCCTTCTCGTGCAGCTGCCGCATCAGCTCCCCCTCTATTTGCCGCCTCGCAGCCTCAAGCTCCGCCACCTTGCTCGCGTTCTCTTCCTGCAGCTTCTCTAGTTTCTGCTTCATCTCCTTCTCAAGCTCCGAAATGCGCCTAAGCGCCGCATCCAGGCCGCCTGGCGGAGCATCGCGGTTCGCATACAGCCGCATCACCTCGCGGAAGGGGTAGAGCTCAACCCTCTCCTGCACCTCACTCTCCCCGACGTCCGCGTCGTGCGAGACATGGAATGTGACGTACAAGCTGCCCAGCCGGAACTCGAGATCGCTGATGTCCTCTAATTCCACGTGGCAGGCAATAGCCGCCTCGGTCACAAACGCACTGCAGAGCGCCTCAACATGGTTTTCCAGCACACGTTTCCAGTCGTCTCCCTCAAACCGCTTCGTGTGGCGTGTTGTGACAAACGCGCAGGGCACGGAGGAGACGGAGGACGACATCCCATCAAGCTGATCAGGCTCCCTCGCCAGCGAGGCGGAAAAGGCTTCAGAAACAGCGCCCACGCCCTTCATCTCCGCACCACAACCCAGCTCGCGCTCCCCGTGCCACTCGAAGGCCAGGTGCCCCAGAGACGCCGCATCGCAGTCCATCGTCCAGCAAAGGATCACCACAAGCAATGAGCAAAAAATTTAGTCCTCGAGATCAGATGCTCCTTCCCGCAACTGCGCAAGACAAAAAGAACGAAAGAGCAGCAAAAAAAAAAGGGGAGGGGGGAAAGAGAGAGAGAAAGAGAGAGCCACATTCATAAGTCAAAACAAAAAAAAAAATACGTTTTCCAAGTTAAGAGAACAGTGGTTTTCCCTGCGGCGATAAAACAGTCGAAAGGCAGGCAATTGCTCCAGAACGAAATCCCAATACAAAGGCTCCAGCACCACTCCGCTGGGCCGGCCCATAGCCATTACACACTTCCCAAGAACGGCAGTCTAAAGTGCCGTCGCCGAATTACGTACCACAAGTCAACTACACACCCACCCAGCCGCAAGCCTGCCCCATTAAAAAAAAAAGAAGGAAGGGGAGGGAGTATTTAACAACAAAAAGCTAACCCCAAAAAATGAAAAGAATAAAGAAATAAAAATTACTCTCCCATACTCATATGTCTTAGCTCCCCACGAAGAACCTCAACTTCCTCTTCCAACATCTTAATGCGCATTCCATTTGACTCACGCAAGCGGTCCTGGCACTCCAAAAAGGTTTCCAAGATCTCCCTCTGCACATTCGCCCGCTCCCGCGACCTCAGCACAAGACGCGCCAAAGACACACAAAGTCCACGAAGACTCATATCCGACAACGCGCCAACTCCCAAAACATCGTCGCCTAGAATATCACCAACCCCTCCGAGCAAAGAACTCAGTTCCACGTCATTAAAAGAAAAAGCGTCAGAAAAGGGAAAAGGAGGAGTAAGCATGCCCCTCACAATACTTCTCTCGGAGGAAGAAACTTCCCCTTCAAACCGACTCGCAAGATTACTGCATACAGGAGGCAAGGCTGCACGCTCACGAACGAAAACGGCAGGCTGCACAGCCGCCGCCTCGAGCTCGTGGGGGGCCTCACTCGGCACCTCTGCCTCAGGCTGCTGCTGCAGCAGCTCCCTCAGCTCCCGCTCCGCACGCCGCGCCTCACTCAGCTGCGACTGCACCGCCTCGTGCTGCTGCCGCAGCTCCCTCAGCTCCCGCTCCGCACGCCGCGCGGCGGCCAGCTCGGACCGCAGCTCCTTTTCGCGTCGGCACACCTCGCCGAGCTGTGCGCGGAGCGAGGCATTCGCGCGCTGCAGCTGTGCAGCTTCCAGCGCCACCGGCTCCACTGACGCGTCTCCCTGATACTCCATCTTCACTGCAAGTATGATATCGCGTGTCTTCTGCTTCACAAGCTCCTCACGCTTCCTCGCGGCAGTGGCCTCAATCTTCGGCTGCATGCAACTTCT